GGGAGGAAGAACCGGAAGACTTCAGATGGAGGCCCGCCATGGGAAGCGAACTGTACCCGACATTCGTCCCCTTGACACGGCAGCACCCAGCTCCCGCACCGGAAGGAGGGGAGGGGGAAGAGGGGGCTTCGAGGGGGGGATGGATGTCAGGGGTTCAGGAGCAGAGGCGAGGGCAAGGGAGGAAACAGAGAGCGAGGGGGAGGAGGCAGAAGAAAAGATGAGTGATGACGACGACCCGAGATCTCCGAGTCTTTCCAGTGAATCAGAAGATTCACAGAAAGGAGCACCAGTGGCCAGGGCAAGGGGGGAGACTAGGGGGACACCCCAGGAAGATAGAGCCAGAGGGGACTCAGAGGGGAGCAGTTGGAAATTGGGACCAGCGTCACCGCCAGAGAGCAGGGAAGAGGAAGGGCGCCAGGGATCAAGCGCTGGCAGCTCACAACAGGAGGGAGGGCACGAGTCAGGAGTGGCCACACCTCCATCGGGGAGCGAAGAGACGGTTAGACGGAAGGTGGAAGGTTGGGCGCGCGCGCCAAGTTCAAATGCACAGGAAGGTGGCGCAGTAGGCAGCCCGGAAAGGGAGCCAGGTCCTAAAGCCCGGCGCAAGGAGACAGGAGGGTCCGGGGGTCAGCGTCAGAAGAATCCTGGAAGGAAGAGACCCCGGGGGGCAGAGGGACCCAGAGAAGAACAGTCAGGCGGAAAAGGTGGAGCAGGGCTAGGATATTAAGTTGGTGTACAAGGGGCGGAGACTCAGACGGAGCTTCGCCGATCTAAGCATAAGACGTAGAGTTGCACGCAGCAGCTTGAGAATGGAAACTGTAACTCAATAAAGACTTTTATTTAATGATCGCTGGCTAGCGTGATCCTCTGTGAGCTAGGATCTGGAAGCAACTCTGACAACACCAGTTGGCCAACCATGCCCAAGAGAAAAGCCTCAGGTTTCTTAGGGAAGGTCCATTTAAGGACTTTCTTAATTTCATTATAGATCATTTCCCAAAAGGCTTTAATCTTCGGGCAGGTCCACCAAAGGTGATAAAAAGTACCCTCAGTCTCATTACATTTCCAGCATTTATTATTGGGCAAATGGTAAATTTTTGCAAGCTTGACTGGGGTAATGTACCACCTATAGATCATTTTCATAATGTTTTCTCTTAAGGCATTACATGCCGTAAACTTAACACCGGTGGTCCATAACTGCTCCCAGTCAGCAAACATAATGTCATGTCCGATATCCTGTGCCCATTTAATCATAGCTGATTTCACCGTTTCATCCTGTGTATTCCATTTCAACAGCAAATTATACATTCTAGACAGGTTCTTACTATTTGGTTCTAACAGTTCTGTTTCTAGTTTTGACCTCTCCATCTGGAAGCCTATTTTCCTGTCCTGTTTAAATATCTCATTTATCTGAAGGTAATGCAACCAGTCTCGTACCTTGGACTTTAATTTTTCATAACTCTGTAATTTAATTTTTTCACCATCTTGTTCTACTATTTCACAATATTTTGGCCATTTAGACTCCATATTAAGTTTTTTCACCTCTTTAGCTTCCATTGGTGACAACCACCTGGGAGTTTTACTTTCCAATAAATCTTTATACCGCATCCAAACATTGTATAATGCTTTCCTAACAATATGGTTTTTAAAACCTTTGTGTAATTTTACCTTGTCATACCATATATATGCATGCCAACCAAATCTATTATCAAACCCTTCCAGATCCAAAATGTCTGTATTCTCAAGAAGTAACCAATGTTTCAACCAGCAAAAAGCTGCCGATTCACAAACGCAATTGATGGACTACATGGAGTTGGCCGAGATGACTGCCAGGATCCGAGATTTGGGAGAAGAAGCAATGGAGGAGGACTGGAAAAAATTTAAGGACTATTTGCAAAAATTTTATAAGTTATATGAACTATAGGATTTCGCATGATTTGGAATGTTAGCTCCAGCAACGAGAGTGGAATATATATGAAATTAGATAATATTAATGAAAGAATCAATGTTTAAATGGTCAAAAATGATAATATGTTTGCTTATAGAGTAAATGGATAATAAGTGATTTAAACTTAAAATGCAATTGAAAGTACAAAAGAAACACATGAAACAAGGTAATAATTTGCTGATAAATTTATTATCAAGATTGCACTGTGCGGGAGATGTGGGGAAGTTCGATAGAAAATTGAAATAAGCTGTTGAAATAATTTGTCTTTTTTCTCTTCTTTTCTTTTCTTTTCTTCTTTGTTTGTTCTATACTGTATATCTCTATCTGGAAAAAATGTAATAATAATAAAAAAAAAAGCTGTCGATTCATAGTAGAGTCTTAAGTCCGGCAGGGCAAACCCCCCTCTATCTTTTGCATCAGTTAAAATCTTAAATTTTATTCTGGGCTTTTTGCCCTGCCAGACAAATTTAGATATGTCTTTCTGCCACTTCTTGAAACAGTCCATCTTGTCCAAAATCTGCAACGTCTGGAATAAAAACAACATTCTAGGCAATACATTCATCTTGATGACAGCAATTCGGCCTAACAAGGAGAGTCTCAACCTTGACCATATTTCTAGATCTTTCTTTACTTCTGTCCAACATTTGTCATAGTTGTCCTTAAATAAGTTCACATTCTTAGATGTTAAGTTTACCCCCAGGTACTTCACTTTTTTCGTTATCACTAAACCTGTTTCACTCTGAAACTTCTCTTTTTCAGCCAATGTTAGATTTTTCTCCAACACTTTCGTTTTCTGTTTGTTCAGTTTAAATCCTGCTACTTGACCAAATATCTCAATTAGTTCTAATACTCTTTTAGTACTAGTATCTGGCTGTTGCAAGGTCAATACTAGGTCATCTGCAAATGCCCTTAACTTGTAATGTCTGGCTCCGACCTGAACTCCTTTAACCAACTGGTCCCCTCTGATCATGTTTAACAAAACCTCCAGGACTGATATAAAAAGTAAAGGGGATATTGGGCATCCCTGTCGTGTACCTTTCTCTATGGGTATTTCTTCCGTAACCACATTATTTACAATTAACTTTGCTTTTTGTTTAGAATATATTGCACCTATACCGTTTTCAAAACCTTGGCCTACCCCCATCCCTTGGAGATTCTTCTTCATAAAGCTCCAGCAAATATTATCAAAGGCTTTCTCCGCGTCCACAAAAATTAAAACTTCCTATTAATGTCCACTTCTAACAGTTCCAAAATGTCTATAATGTTCCTCACATTGTCTGACATATGTCTCCCTGGAAGAAAGCCAGTTTGGTCCTTATGAATCTCCCCTACCAACACTCTCTTCAGTCTTTTTGCCAAAATGTCTGCAAAGATTTTGTAATCCACATTAAGTAGTGATATAGGGCGGTAGTTTTTGACCTGGTTCTTTTCAGTCTCAGTTTTCGGTATAAGTGAAATAAAAGCTTCTTTCCACGATTCAGGTGCCTTTTTCCCCTCCAAAATTTCATTACAAACTTCCTTCAGTGGTTGTACTAGCCATTCCTTCAACGCTTTGTAATATCTAGCGGTCAAACCATCTGGTCCTGGAGATTTTCCCAGTTGCATATTCTGAATGGCACCCTCTATTTCTTGTCCTGTTATTTTCTCATTCAAAATCATTTTGCTTTGCTCTGAAATTTTTGGTAATCCATATTTCTTAATAAATTCTTCTATTTCCTGTTTGTTGACTGGCCCTTGTGCATATAATTTCCTGAAGAAACTTTGAAAGCAATTACTTATCTCGTTTGGTTTATGGATAATCTTTCCATCCATTTCTAAACTTGTCACAGTGTTCAATTTTTGCCTCTTTTTCAGTTGCCATGACAGAAGTTTCCCACATTTATCTGCTGATTCAAATGTCTTTTGTCTCATTTGCTTTATTTTCCATTCTATCTCTTGATTCATCAATTCCATATATTGCATCTGGTAATGCTTTATTTCTCTCAAAATCTCATGAGACTTTGGTTTAGACCTCAATTTCCTTTCACCTTCTTTCATTTTCTCCAAAAATTTTTCTTTCCTCTCATTCTGCTTTTTCCTCTTTATGGAGTTCTGTTGTATTAGGAAACCTCGCATCACGGCCTTACTTGCGTCCCAAATTATTCTTTTTTCCACTTCTGTTCTCAGATTTATCTCAAAGTAATCTTTCAATGTTTTTTGGGCCTTCTTGTAAATCTCTTCATCTCTGAATAGGGTGTCATTCATTCTCCATCTAAAGGATCCAGTTGATGTTAGTTTCATCTCCATCTTTACAGCGTTATGGTCGGAGCAAGTCTTTGGGCAGATTTCTACTTTTTTTATCCTTGGCGCCATACTACTAGTTACCCAAATTTGGTCAATTCTTGTCCATGTCATTTTTGCTTCAGAGAAAAAAGTTCCCTCTCTCTCAAGAGGGTTCCTTGTTCTCCAAATGTCAATCAAGTCCATAGTTTCAGTCACTCAGTTATATGATTATGAAAGTAAAGTTCTTTTGAATAGCAAGAGTCTGGCCACTGTATAGTCTGTAAAAAGGAACTATCAACTAGAATAGCTATTTGGCTTCCTTGCTATAAGCTACTCTGTTACTTTGGATATCATAAAAATTCAGACAGACAGACAGACTTTAATGTTGTATACAGTGTAAGGCTGGGGAATTGAGAGGTGGGGAGAGTGAGCGGGGGGAGGGGTAGTACACTTTCATTATTTTACGAAGTTCATATGCAAGGTGTTTGTGTCAGTGCGACATGGGTAGCTTCTCTTCCTAATCATTTATTAGTTTTCATTGGAAGTGAGAAAGATTGGGGGGCACAAGAGCACAGTTGGTTGCCTTCAGTTGGCTGCAGTAAAGGTGGCGGAGGCTGAACCATTTTGAGGACGTGAGTTGCAATTTGAAGAAGACGTGAGTTGCAATTTGACATCATCTGGGGGGGCCACAGGTTACCCAACAGGTCTGTTTTCAGCGCCTTCACCTTCTCCTGGTGCAGCTGCCCTAGGAACTCCTTGTACTGGATGTGCTTTGTCCTGTGGTGCCTCTGCAGGTGGGCCTTCTTCAGGACGGAGAGGGCCTCACCACAAATGAGGCACACGGGCATGCCTTTCAGCTCCACAAAGAAATAGTCGTGTGTCCATCTTTTTTGAAAATGCGGCACTCCAAATCTATCTTCCTCTTCTTGTGGACACATTGATTGTGTCCAGAAACAGACAATTAGGCAGACGGAGCTGTTCTCATATAGGAGTCCTATGCTGCCTATAGCCAGCCCTGGTCAGTAATGTGTCTGCAGCTCTTTGAGCCATTGAAGTTTCTGAGCTCTTTTCAAAGGAATCCGCAGGTACAGTGTGTTAAAGTAACTCCTACGCAATGTGGCACCAGACTGCTTTCTTTTTTTGTAATTATCTGTTTGTTTTAAATTCTGTAGCTTAAATTCTCTTGATGCTTCTTTTTTTGAGAAGGGCCTCTTACGGTCACAAAGCAATGATTTTCAGTGCAGCGTCATAACACTCATTGTGCCCTCACACTGCCCCTTTTTGTGGGGGGATTTGGATCCAGAAAAGGAGCAGACGGGGAAAGGTTAAGCAGAATCCCACCCACTCCCCGCGCCACCCTTAGGTGTACTCAGTCTTCGCCTGCTTCATGACTCCACCTTGCATGAGAAGGCAGGATGGAGCTTCAGGAAACAGGAAGTGGTCCTTCAACCAGCCAGGACATCTCACCATCACAGACAGATCCAGTCTCCTGCTGTGGAGTCAAGAGTGGCCCTGGGATGGCAGAGAGAGGAGGGGAAGGGGCCAGGGACAGAAGGAATGGCAGGGCTTCAGATGCTCCCTTGGACCCCCCCCCCGACACCAAGGGCAGCTCCTCTTCTGGGGCTGAAAGCATTGGGGTGGTTTGATTTTATTAGTATTGCAAGGAAGCATAGAAGGAAAGGTAAAAAACACCTATGCGGTTTATTAAAGTATCTGTGGTTTTTCCCCTGTGTGAGTTCGTTGATGTATTCTAAGGTATCCATTTTGACTGTAGGTCTTTCCACATTCAATACATTTAAATGGTTTCTCCCCCGTGTGAATTCGTTGGTGTATTCTAAGTGATCCATTTTGACTGTAGCTCTTTCCACATTCAATACATTTATATGGTTTTTCCCCTGTGTGAGTTCGTTGGTGTATTCTAAGTGATCCACTATCACTGAAACTCTTTCCACATTCCATACATTTAAATGGTTTCTCCCCTGTGTGAGTTCGTTGGTGTATTCTAAGTGATCCACTATCAGTGAAGCTCTTTCCACATTCAATACATTTAAATGGTTTCTCCCCCATGTGAGTTCGTTGATGTCTTCTAAGTTTATCACTTCTACTGAAGCTCTTTCCACAATCCAAACATTCAAATGGTTTCTCCCCCGTGTGAATTCGTTGGTGTACTCTAAGTGCTTCATTTTGACTGTAGCTCTTTCCACATTCCATACATTGAAATGGTTTCTCCCCCGTGTGAGTTCGTTGGTGTACTCTAAGTGATCCACTATTACTGAAACTCTTTCCACATTCAATACATTTAAATGGTTTCTCCCCTGTATGAATTCGTCGGTGTACTGTAAGTGCTCCACTTTTGCTGAAACTCTTTCCACATTCAATACATTTAAATGGTTTCTCCCCTGTGTGAGTTCTTTGATGTATTCTAAGGTATCCATTTTCACTGTAGCTCTTTCCACATTCAATACATTTAAATGGTTTCTCCCCCATGTGAGTTCGTTGATGTATTCTAAGTGTTTCATAAAGACTGAAGCTCTTTTCACATACAGTACATTTAAATGGTTTCTCCCCCGTGTGAGTTCGTTGATGTCTTCTAAGGTGTCCACTGTCACTGAAGCTCTTTCCACATTCAATACATTTATATGGTTTTTCCCCTGTGTGAGTTCGTTGGTGTATTCTAAGTGATCCACTATCATTAAAGCTCTTTCCACATTCAAAACATTTAAATGGTTTCTCCCCTGTATGAATTCGTCGGTGTATTCTAAGTGCTCCACTTTTGCTGAAACTCTTTCCACATTCAATACATTTAATTGGTTTCTCCCCTGTGTGAGTTCGTTGATGTATTCTAAGGTATCCATTTTCACTGTAGCTATTTCCACATTCAATACATTTATATGGTTTCTCCCCTGTGTGAGTTCGTTGATGTCTTCTAAGTGTTTCATTAAGACTGAAGCTCTTTTCACATACAGTACATTTAAATGGTTTCTCCCCCGTGTGAGTTCGTTGGTGTCTTCTAAGTTTTCCACTGTCACTGAAGCTCTTTCCACATTCAAAACATTCAAATCGTTTATCTCCTTTGTGAGTTTGTTGTTGTATCCTCAATTTTTTTGTTTCCCCCCATAAATTCACAGGTGGCTCCATAGAATTCTGACTTTCATCTTCCTCACCTGTTTTGGAGTCTGGGAGGAAAGAGAATCCTGTTAGACTTTCAAGAAAGACAAAAAGGGAACTGAACACCTGTCAATCCCAACCTGCACCTTCTCTCGTTGTAACATCTTCATTCTCCACTGTCCTCTATAGGTTCCAAATTTTTTGCAAAGCTGATGAGACAGTGGCAAGAGCAAAACATGATCACTCTATTCAAACTTAATAAGGCAGCATCGTTTTATAATACAGATCTATGCTGGAACTGGTTTATTAGACACATCTCTATTTTTATTTCTCAAGCGAATTGTCGAGTTGCAGCTCGGCATCCAGAGGAAAATCAGTCTCACACCAAGATAGGTTCCGAAATATGGCTGCTCTAGGGCTAATGCAGCACAGCTTTTATTGTGTGAAATAGAAAGATACAAAAAATACAAGCCAAGCAATTTGTTCTAGCCAGCAGATAAAGACCTTGGTACTAGACCATGCGAGCGATCAGGCCATGCTACGTTAGCCAATCATATGGGACAGCACGAGCTGTTCACGCGCTGTTCATGCTCCAAGGATGCTTCTAGCTATGAAATCACCCTGTAACAATAAGAACTTTGCTCATGCTCTCATGTACAAGCAATCATTTTCCCACATATCCCCTTTTCTTGTTTATATTATTAGAGGAAAAGAGGGACCATTAGTCCAAATCGTACACTTCATTGCCTAAGCGTCTACACTTTGCAACATAAATTCCTCTTGTAACCCCTGTGGTGGGCCGTGGTCGGTACCACCATGCAGTGCATTGGGAAATCAAAGAGGGTATGCATTGAATGCAACAACACACCATAATGAAGCCAGCAATACATGCAATTACAATCAATAATATTTTCTTAACCATACTCCATTAGGTAACCAAGAAGACAACCACTCCCATGGATCAAAACCTTCAGGTGGATTCAAAGGATTATGGGCTATCATTTGTTCCATATGATCAATAGTAGCAGAGATATTGGTCGATTGATCAGGCTCGAGTAACAGTGTCTCCTTTGTGAAATAAGTAAAACTTAAGTGCTACATTTAACTGTAAAAATATTGCAATATATTGGAACCTAAGAAGAGCCTGCTGGATCAGGCAAAGGCCCACCTAGTCCAGCATCCTCTTCTCACAGAGGCCAACCAGATGCCTGTGGGAAACCGGCAAGCAGGATTGGAGCACAAGAGTCTTCTCTGCCTTCCAGTGCTTTCCAGAAACTAGTATCAGAAGCATTATTGCCTAAGACCGCGAGGGCAGAGCAGAGACGTCAGTCTTATCCTTTTTTTCAAGCTATCCAAGTTGCTGGCTCTCACTGTCTCCTGTAGGATGGATTCCATAGATGAACTACGCTTCTGTTTATTCATCTTTTGCAGCCCTTAAAGGCAGATAAATGTATTATGGCCTAAGCTTTTGTGGGCTGCAGTCTGACAAAGTGGACTCTTGACCAGGAAGCTGGTGCCACTATAAACCTCTGAGTCTCTTTGTTGGCTTTCTGTACTTATTTTGAATTTTGCACCAAGGTTGTACCACAGTATCTCCATGGAAGCTTAGGGACGGACAAAATTACAGGGTGTCAGCTCTGTGAATCTCAAGCCTCTCGTGCCTCCGCTGACAGAGCCTGAGAACGCAAGAGATGGGATTTGGTTGGAATGTGATGCAGGGGAGGAGCAGCCAAGCTGCAGCAGGAGGAAAGAACAAAGAGCAGGAAGAGGGGGTCCCGATGGGGGGGGCACAGACTGTTATCTCCAGTTTGAGGTCTGACACAGAGACCCCGGAAATAGCCTGTCCAAAAATCGTAGGCTCGAGAGAATCTGCGAGAGGGGAAAAGAAAGCGAAAGTGGGGGCTTCTTTGCTGGAGGACTTGGCAACTGCAAGCTGGGATGAACAGGCCGAAGACTGAGCTCCACAGTGATTTGTGAGTTTGAGATAATTACTACTGGAGTTGTCTCACGTCTGTGCGGGAGAACCAAGCCATTACACAGGGGCGCTAAAATTATTATCCCACTCACTCACTCTCACAAACAATTTTACACAATTTGCTTATAATACCAGACGCTCTTGGACTTTATATGCCCAATCCTAAATGTAGAGCCTCCAGCCCCAGGAATTGTGTATCATGATAACAGGTCCTTTGTCCCTTAAGCCCACCAAACTGGGGAGGCGCATGCATCTATTGTGTTTTGATGCTGGTGGAATGTATCATTCTGACCCTGTCTATAACAAATAAGAGTAATAGAAACAATTTATGTACATTAATTATAAATAATTATGGGAAACATTTCCATCCCACTTCACTGATTTTTCAGGATTGGTGTGCAACCTCATTACCATCAATTATTCCTGCCGTGGAAATAACATCTAAGATTTCAAAGCCTGGAGGAAGAAAATCTGCCACCACTACTTTAGGGAAAGGATTCAAGAAACAAAGAGCTGCTTCGGAGAAGGCCTCACCCCTTCCTTCTTCCTGTCAGGAACTTCCTTCCATTTGTCTCCTCTCCATCTTTTCCTCTTTCTCCCTCCACCATCCATCTATCCCTGTCCCCATCTCCTCTCCCCTGGAAACTCACCAGATTTCTCCAAGGGTCCTGGGAAGGAATGCTCAGAGGTTGTGGGGAGGGATGCGGGAGATAGCCTGACCAGGTCAACCGTCCATCTTCCTCCTTCCATCCTGGCCAGGGTTGCAGGTTCAGTCTCAGCTAGGTTTGCAGGTTCAGCTTCCTGAGGAGTGCAGAAGCCAGAGCAAGTTGCAGCTTCCTGGGAGGGAGGGAAGAAGAAGCCAAGGGAGTCTGAGAGCCCCTGCAGGGATTCTCCTGCCCAATACGTTCTGCTGCCCCTGGAGAAGCCCCAATTGGGCATCCCCTTCCCAAGATCCCCCACCCATTTTCAAACACCTTTGGCAATTACTTTCACCTGCCTGTCCCACCTCCCTTCCTAAGGCTGGCATGGTATGCACATTCGTGGCCTGAGAGTAGACCCCATAGAAATTAAGAGTTAATCTACAAAGGACTGCTCTGAATACATGGGTGGCCCTTGCATGGAGAAGAAAGAATATTCACCACCATAGCTAAACAGAACCTCAATGTCTAGAGGCAGTGGACCTGTGACCTCCAGGTGCTGGAAACCCAGGTGAGAGGAGGGCACTTACCTTTCCAAGAAGTCCCTCAGTGTCTGGGAGCAGGGTCTGGTCTGTTCCCCCTGCTCTCCCACTGGGCCACCGACTGGCATCTGCAGCTCCCCTGAAGGAGTGGACACCATCCCTGGAGTGGGGAAAATTGGGAGCCTGTGCGGTTTCCCACCCTGAATGAGGGGGCTGCATCGTCTTCAGGAAATCCTGCTTCTGGGCATCCCAGTGGTGCTGTGGCTGCCCCTCCTCTGCCTCCTGCTTAATTTGACATAAATCTGCCCGAGGCAGAAGATCCCTGATGGTCCCAACTTGGCCGGTAGGAGGTTTCTTTCCTTTGCACTCCAGTCTCTCCCTTTGAATGGGTCTCCTGGGTCCCTGCTCTTCCATTTTTACGCCACCCTCCTGGAAAAGAAATAAACACAAAGTAAAATAAAACCCAAGAATAAAAACAAAAGCACATTTTTTAACCACTGGCCAGTTTTTGAAATATATTATTACTCTTTCTATTTCTGATGTTCAGGCTGTGAATAGAAATCATTATGTCACCCAAATGACTCCACCCAGGGACAAGGGGAAGTTATCCAAAGACTGGGGAAACTTCAAGGTTTATGGAAGTACAAATAATATTTGGTTGGGGGGGCGGGAATCAAGGCAGTGGAAGGAAATTTAAAAACAACCCAGTGAGAGGACTGAGCATGTTCAGTGGACAGGGAATGCTGATCCTGGCTGCAACTTCTAGCATGTTGGAAAGGCAGCAACAGATCTTTGTATATGAATAAGGCTGCAACAGAACCACCTAACATTTAAAGCACATGGCTTCACCCAAGAAATCCTGCGAGCTGCAGTTTGTTAGGGGTGTTGAGAACTGTAGCAATAAACTACAAGTCCCGTGGTTTTCTGGGGGAAGCCACATGCTTTAAATGTATTGTATCCGCACAGCCTAAGAAACAAACTGACACAATGAATATTGACCAAAAAATCAAGCAACCCACTCCAAAATATTTTAAATTTGATGGTCACAAACTCTCTTGACTGAAGATATTCTAACTTGCAGTCCATTGGCTGTATATGGCTTGCCAAGCCTCAGGGTGTGTCCTGCTAGTCCCTGCCGTTTCCATCTCCTGATCTGATCATAGGATGAAGATCTCTGTCCTGGAGAGAAAGATGCCTAAAGGGCCCTTAGAGAGATCTTTTAAACTCCAATTTCACCACAAAGCAGCACAGTGCTGAAATGGGGTAAAAGCCCTGCTCTGGAAATAAATGATCCCTCTGGCTGCTCTTTAAAGAGGATTTCTAAAGAACAATCTGAAGGGTCTTTTTTTCCACAGATCTCCTTGCTAATTCAGCAGAGTCTTCTTGTGCTGTTATTTCTCCTCCACCCCAGCACTGGGGTTGGAAGGCCTAAACATGCTGATTGTGTTTGCAAGACTTGTATGTATGCTAGATGGCATGTCTGGTGAGTGTGTGCAGCACCTCTGGCATGTGTGCATGTGACTTTATGGTCTGCATCTCTTTTCTGTGTGCGCATGCATGTGCATACATTGGCCACAAAGCTCACTGGAATGTGGCCTCCAGAATCAATGCAGCTTTAAGCCCATAAATGTTCCTCCTGCTCTATCAGAAAGAACAATAAAATCTGAGACTATCAGGAGGAGAGAACTCCTGGATCTACAGAGTTAATGTTCTCAACATCCTATGGACACAAACTGAAATGAGATTTCCCTTTAATTGCTTTGAGAATTTTTCCCTTAAAAATATGAAGCAGTATATAAATGAAATGAGTAATAATCTGAACATGAATAGCTAATTTCAATTTTGCCTTCCTCAGTCTTTTACAATACTGTCTTCAACATATTTATTATCATTAACTCATTTCCATGTGCCACACTTCTTAAGAATCCTCCTTTCCTCTGCATTCTCAAAACTGTCACCCACTTCAACCCTCAGCCTTCATCTCAAAACTCAGCTGTATTACTGAGGTGGAAATAAAACCTTTAATGAAACAAAAGATAGGATTCCAGGTGGAAAAATCAAAGTTAGAAACAGAACTGTTAGAACCCAGCTCTAAGATACTTTCAAGAATGTATAACTTGCTGCTAAAATGGAACACACAGGATGAAACGGTCAAATCAGGTATGATAAAATGGGCACAGGACATAGGGTACAACATCATGTTTGCTGACTGGGAAAAGTTATGGACCACCGGTCTGAGATTCACGGCATGTAATGCCTTGAAAGAAAACGTTATGAAAATGATATACAGGTGGTACATGACCCCAGTCAAGCTTGCAAAGATATACCATCTGTCTGATAATAAATGTTGGAAGTGTAAAGAAGCTGAAGGAACATTCTTTCACCTCTGGTGGACTTGCCCTAGAGTGAAGGCTTTCTGGGAAAAGATATATAATGAGCTGAAAAAGGTATTTAAGTATACCTTCCCTAAGAAACCAGAGGCTTTTCTTTTAGGCATTGTCGGCCAGAGGGTGCAAAAGAAGGACCGAACCTTTTTTATGTATGCTACAACAGCAGCAAGGATACTTATCGCTAAATGCTGGAAAACTCAAGATTTGCCCACACTGGAAGAATGGCAGATGCAACTGATGGACTATATGGAACTGGCGGAAATGACTGGCAGAATCCGAGACCTGGGAGAAGAACTGGTGGAGGAGGATTGGAAGAAATTTAAGGACTATCTACAAAAACATTGTAAATTGTATGAATGCTAAGAAAGATGTAAGATTAGATAACATGGTTCCAACAAATTAGTTATAAGGAATATGAAATCTAAATGCAATTGAAAGAAAAGACAAATTTTGGATTAATAGTATGTCAAAACTAAGTTTCCAAAAGAGTGATCTAAATTTTCTAAAATTTGAGACTTAATATTGGAAAATTACATTATATGAATTGAAACAAGTTAATAAATTGCTGGCAAAATTTAAGAGTTTGGAATGCAGGAACAAGAGTTGTGAGGAAGTCCAATGATGAGAATGGAATGTGGATACTGGAAAATATTATGTTATTCTGTATGTTTTTTATTGTTCAAACAAAATTTTAATAAATATTATTTTAAAAAAGAAAACCTTTAATGAAACAGGCTTAAGCCTCTCTCACTGATTTACACGCAGACACAAGAGGTCACTAACTTTGATAGCTTGGGAAAAGATCAGATGCGTTCTCCGGGAAATAGATCTATTAGATGTTTTATTAGCCTTGACAGAACAACAGAACCTCCATGTGTAGGCACAGTGTACCTTGATGTGAGGAAGGCAAAAGAAGCCATTTCCTTGCTAAATGAATCTGATCGACATCATTGCCACAAGATGCGACGATGGTGGTGGCAAAGAGAGCTTTCAAAGGCGATCAGACCAATTCACAAATGAGGGCGATAGGTTTATCAATGGCACTGGCAGAGGGAGGGGGGCAGGAGTAGTGGCCTGCAAAGGGTGTAAGGGGGGCTGGAGAGTGAGAGGGGCACCTCCCTGCTGCACTGCTCTTCCTTCCCCCGCCTCCCCTTCCCTCTCCCCCGTGGGGAGGACCGTGGAAGAGGACGGGGCTCCCTGCTGAGGGACAGGGAGAGGGGTGGCAAAAGCCCCAACGACGCCGCTGATCATCGGACGACTGTATGCATCGTCCATCGGGAAGCAGCAGCTGCCTTGGACCCCTCATTCTGCCCCTTGAGCTCAGGACTGAAGGGAGCAGCTCCCCAGGGTCTCCGGCAGGGTCCGTGCCAGCCTGAGCCAGAGATGTTTGCCCCTGTGCCCTCCTGCAGATGCCCTGCCCCTCAGCTGCGCCCCTTCCCCTTCCTGCCCGGTTGGGGGGCGCCCTGCAGCCTCTGACTCCACTCGGGGCCTGATCCTGCCAGGCGCACGTGCTCTCCTCCTCCTCCCCCTCCTGCCCCCTCCCGCCTCCTGCACCTCGGACTCCTCGCTCCGTCCCTGCACCGGAATCCGGCTCCTCTCCGGGGAAACTCGCCAGGCCACGGGCCGCTGCTCCTCCGCTCTCCTCGGCGGGGGACAGGAAAGTGCAGCCGCTCTCGAGTCCCCCTGGCTGGCCCCGTTTCCTGCCTCTCTGGGCAGCGGAGCTCGCTGGCTGTGGGTTGGGCCCTGGGAGGCTGCGAGGCTGGATGCGCCCCCTTGCAAGGCGAGGGCTGCGAGACCGCCCTGCTGCTTCCCCTGCCTCGAATTTGCAGCCCGCTGCTTCTGATCCTGGAGGTTCTGCTCTTAGCTGTCGGGGCAAATGGATTAGCCCGATGAGATCTGGTCCATTCCTAGCTCTGGAGCAGCAGGGAACAAGGTTTTTGCACCCTTCTCTAGGGATGTTCACACGCCGCCATCTGTGTCCCCGTGTACACAAATCGCTGAGCTGTTGGGGTAATAATAATAATACAGCAATAATAATAATAATACCGTTCCCATCTGGCTGCGTTTCCCTAGCCGTTCTGGGCAGCTCCCAACAGAATTATTTTTTTAAAAAAAGATAGAATAAATCATCAAACATTAAAAACTTCCCTAAACAGCGCTGCCTTCAGATGTCTTCTAACCTCAGGGTTCGAGCCCCATGTGAGATAAAGTGAAAATGAAGTGTAATGTTACCTTGACATTGTGTACACAATAGTCCAGTGGTTTAAACACCCTACAAAAATCCCTTCCCCTTTCTGTGTCATCTCTAATAAGTGGGTTTAGAAAGCTTTTTCTCAAAATTTATTATATAATTGGAATAGATCTGGCATATACTGTATAAGCTATCCAGAATGTTGTACTAAGTCTGGTTGTGATCAGATATGCAGTCACTGGTTTCTAAATCCTCATCATGAAAAATTCCTGAAATACCATTTTAGGTAAAATTAGCAAGTTCAGATCCAAGTGTAGCATACGATATATTTTTCTTTAATTTGGCAGGTGTTGGATACCACTTAAATTTTAGCTTATAAAATGTTAAGCTTCTAAGTGATTCTGGAATAACATTTTGAGTTGGGCTTCCTCTTTAATAGTAAACTATCCTTTTCTTCTTTCTCCAATTAAAGAAATAAAAAAGCAGTATTATTTTACAAAAACTGTATTGATTTTTAAAACATGGGTTCACTGGTGATAATAACCGAGGTTTTCCAAATGCAAAAGCAAATAGGTTAAGGCAGTGGTGACTTATGGAGGGCTGGGGGAAGTGGGGTGCTGCACAAATGCCTGCCCTCCTGCTAGAGTTGCCATATTGCAAAGTAAAAATCTGAACTGAAAAATTCTTCAGCTTTTGGGGCAAAATCTCAAAATTGCTGTTTCTGAGCTATTTTTGTGGAAAAACGGCTCCCATACACCTAGGTTTCTGTGGTTGAGGCCTTGTCACCTGAGAGAGCCGTGTCCAACCCACCCCAGATTCTTCTGTTGTAATAAACGAGTTAAAGTAAAGGTAAAGGGACCCCTGGACCACTAGGTCCAGTCGTGGCCGACTCTGGGGTTGCGGCGCTCATCTCGCTTTATTGGCCGAGGGAGCCGGCGTACAGCTTCCAGGTCATGTGGCCAGCATGACTAAGCCGTCTCTGGCGAACCAGAGCAGCGCACGGAAACGCCGTTTACCTTCCCGCTGAGCGGTACCTATTTATCTACTTGCACTTTGACATGCTTTCAAACTGTTAGGTTGGCAGGAGCACAGACAGAGGAACGGGAGCTCACCCCGTCGCGGGGATTCAAACTGCCGACCTTCTGATCGGCAAGTCCTATGCTCTGTGGTTTAACCCACAGCGCCACCCACGTCCCTAATAAACGAGTTAGTATAGTTTACGGCTTTCACACCCACCCCACATTCCCCATTCCTGTCTCTTTTCCACGTATTATCGGATTGTGATGTTGGCTTAGATGGTGGGTTTAGATCCCCTCCTTTACTACAGACACCCCCAAACAACCCTGGGAAGTGTAGTTTGTTAAGGATGCTGAGAATTGTGAGGCGGCCCCTACTTCTCTCACATAACTACAGTTCCCAGAGTAGTTTAACAGACAATCCCTCTTCACAGGGAACTATGTAGCTCTGTGTGGGCAATGGGGAGGGGTTTTTTCTAAGGCTTTCAGCACCCTTGAAACTACACTTCCCATGGTTCTTAGGGAGAAGATGTACCTGTTTAAAGTGGTATGATACTGGTTTAAATGTAACGTGCAGACAGGGCCCCAGTCTTAAGCAAGACACACAGGAGAAAGTGAATCAGATCCACCCACCCTCACACAAAAAACCTGACTAACTTTTTTTAATAATAAAAAACAAACATTTTATTTAATTTTTTTGAAAAGAGCAGGAAATTTTAAGTAACCAAAGAAGAACAAAGCAAAGGCAGTAGATTCCTTCTGAGCAGGTTCCGTAATCCTTAAGAAAGCAGCAACTCTGAGGAAACGTTCTGTCCAAAATCAAACCAGTTTTTTCTTACTTGATCCACCCCCCTGAGCTACTCTGCATTGGGAGGGGGGCCAGAATAGCCCCACTGCAAAGCCAAGGGGACACAAAGGAAACAACCCCTCCCTGCTGTTGACTATCAGCAACTACTCTCGCAGGTAAACTGCTCATAAACAGGGGGCTCCATATAGTTATCGTTACCTCTTGCGGTGCACTCAGGTGCTGAGTGCTCACAGCATTTATTAAAAAACGGGTCACCGAGAAACAAGAAGGGAGGTATTAGCATGCTCAGAGGGAACACCAAGGTTTTGCAGAAATACGAAAAAAGACCCCCTAACCCCGCAATATTAAAAAACCCAGAACAGCCCAATAAGGACTGAGCATGCTCAGTGGCAACCAAGTGCTATGTGTTTGTTCGGAAGAGGGGAATGGAATGGAATATCCTAGGAGAGGGCATCACGGGCTGGCTGGCTGGCTGCAGTGCTGAATGTGAACATTCAAAAGGTCTTGTATACCTTGAAAAATAGCCCATCCTCCAGGAATATATCAAAACCCACTTTTACACCACCACCAATTATTTTGATCTGGCTCACAAATAATTCCACCTCTACTGCCAACTATCCCTTTGGGTTGAAGGAACATCAAAAACACCAAAATGAGCAAGAACCTAATCCCACCCCCCACCCCATACAAAAGTAACCACCCCCATTGCCAGCAGCTATAAAGCCCATTTACACAACCTAATCCTATGTAGGTTTACTCCAGAGTAATTCCCCGCTGTGTTCAGCTAAGTGCACACAGGATTACAGCTACATAGGTCTACAAATGTCTAACTCATCCGCCTCCAACTCTTCCTTCTATTTATTTATTTTTCCAAACAGCACACAAATGGCATAAAGAGATGCATACTTTTCAAAAAGGCATGAGGAAGATGAAGTACATCCACAGGGGAGCAAAGAAGGGGAGATAACTATAAGCACAAGGGGGAAAGGAACCAGAGAGCAGAGAATTCATTCGGCCAAGCAGCAAGTCATTCGATTTCCACTTGGACGGCAAACTCTGCTCCACAAGCAGAGAGATGATCAGGTTCCAATTCAGTTTGACAATCAGCATCCTTTAGAGGTCTCTACTCTTCAGTTTTCTTCAGATCCAGCCCTGCATAAGAATGGATTTCTTTTAAAAGCATGTATACATCCTTGTTGCTTTTGTCTTTACCCAAACCTACAAACCCCCTCTTTCCAAACTTGTATTTGGTCGCATCCACACCATGCACTTAAAAGCACAAAACAATCCCAGGAACTGTAGCTCACCTCCTGCCCCAAAGAGGTACAATTCCCTCCCACCTCCTTCCCCAAGCCTAGCTAGTGCTCTCCCAGTTCTGGGAAGGTGGGAAAGCTTTAGGGCAGGGGTCAGCAAACTTTTTCAGCAGGGGGCCGGTCCACTGACCCTCAGACCTTGTGGGGGCCGGACTATATTTTGGAAAAATAAATTAAATAAATGAATTCCTATGCCCCACAAATAACCCAGAGATGCATTTTAAATAAAAGCGCACATTCTACTCATGTATAGACACACTGATTCCCGGACCGTCCACTGGCCGGATTTAGAAGGCGATTGGGTCAGATCCAGCCCCTGGGCCTTAGTTTGCCTACTCATGCTTTAGGGTAAGGTTACCAGACGTCCCCGTTTCCCAGGGACAAGTCCCTGGATTTACAAATCAATCCCCTGACAAAATCCATTGAAGTTGAAAAGTGCCCCGGATTTATTGAAAAAAATCTGGTAACCTTGTCAGAAGGCCCTGTCAGAGCCTTCATACCTTCTTCCCAAAGTTGGGCACCTCCTTACCTGGGCTTTGCAGTGCCTCCTTCACAAAGGCTTTGGGAAGACAGTGTGAGGATTGGGGCAGGGGGCAAATTTAGGCCTCGCACAGGGAGCCATAGAACCCAAATCCGCCACTGCCTCAAGAAACCAGCACCTGTAGGATTCCCTGGGGTGGGGAATGTGCTTTAAAAATATGGTGTTGATGGTGACCTTTCTGTTTTTCAAAACACATCAGGCCTTTCTTCTACCAAGTCGGGTAATTTGTCTCCCTGGGTCAGTGTTATCCACTCTTGTCTGGCAGCAGATCTCAGGGCAAACTTTATCACTAGCAACCTAGTTTTCAATGCTAGCTGCCTAGTCCTTTTAATACAGGGAATGGCAGGGACTGAACCTGACGGCGAAGTCGGAGCTCTACCACTGAGTGGTAAGGATGGGCAGAAGACTGTAGATCAGGATCTAGTGATAGATGGCTAGGCGATTTGCTGATGGTTCCATAGATAAATTTAGGGTTAGTTCTCAGTTATGGGATAAACCTGGGTCAGGGCTGCATAGGATGAAAACGATGCTCTGTGTTTGTTTTAAAGGCCTGCACATGGAAAACTAGTATGGCACAGAGAGAGGGTGGGATTCAAGTAAGTCGCATGCAAGGAATGAGGTTTATTCGTGCAGCAGACTTTGCAAAGGGTTTGCAGCCAGGTTTATATAGTGGTACCTCGGGTTACATACGCTTCAGGTTACATACGCTTCAGGTTACAGACTCAGCTAACGCAGAAATAGTGCTTCAGGTTAATAACTTTGCTTCAGGATGAGAACAGAAATTGTGTTCTGGCGGCACGGCAGCAGCGGGAGGCCCCATTAGCTAAAGTGGTGCTTCAGGTTAAGAACAGTTTCAGGTTAAGTACGGACCTCCGGAACGAATTAAGTACTTAACTCGAGGTACCACTGTAATTTCAATGGAGAGAGGGCAGTTTTTAAGTTGAAACTGGGGAGCAGGGTTGGGGAGTTGAAGGCGCCTGAGTAATTCTCTGGGGGTCTGATCATAGCTGTCAAGCGTCCCTTATTTCGGGAAGTCCTCCAGTGCCATGTCCCGCTGCTGTCCCTTATTGATGATGTCCCTTAAATAAGCTACTGAAGGTAATGGGACCCTTTCTATGTCCAGCTGTGCTTTGTCAACAACAAATTGTTGCTGTTTTTGTGTGTTGAATATATGCTATATGGTAATTTATGGACCTAATAGGTATCTAAAGCCATTTGCACGCAACAGAATATGCATTTTATCAAAGTAATTGTTGATCCTTTATTTTGGCTGCTGATCCCTTATTTTTGAGGCAGCTGGTCCCTTATTTTCAAATCTACAAGTTGACAGCTATGGGTCTGATAGAACATTTGAGAGCAAAGGGGAGGGAGTCACAAGGTTAAATAAAGGAAAGAGGGAATAAAAAAGCTGGCGGACACAAATGAAATATGCAAAAGGTCACAGGCCAACAATCTGCATGAAGTACATGTTGCCTGGGTGTCAGGTCATTTCTCCCAATAAGAGTATTTGTACGGACTTTTACAACTCAATTCAATTCAGTTCTTCAATTCAATTGCTTACCTCACAGGGTTCTTGTGATGATATAAGATGGGTGCAAAAAGACGTCATCAGATGGAAGCTCTTCTTCGGTTTTGATCGTTTCTGGAGATTCTTTCCTCGGTCCGTGGATTTTCTGATGGCTAACAAGGTGTGTCCTGCGATTGAACCTTTTCCCACAGTCAGGGCATCCGTAGGGTCTCTCTCCAGTGTGGATTCTCTGATGACTGATAAGGTTTGTGCTGCGATTGAACTTCTTCCCGCAATCTGTGCATTCAAACGGCTTCTCCCCCGTGTGGATTTTCTGGTGCATCTTCAGGCCTGACCGGCGGCAAAAGCTTTCGCCACAATCTGAGCACGTGTACAACTCCCTGGCTGTATGAATGCTCTGATGTCTAATGAGGTGCTTGTTCCGGCTGAAACTTTCACCGCACTCAGAACATTTGAACGTCTTCTCCCCCGTGTGATTTTTCTGGTGCCTAATGTAAGTCGATCGATCGCAAAAGCTTTTGCTGCAGAGCAGGCATTTGTACGGTTTCTCGCCTGTGTGGCTTCTCTGGTGTGTTATGAGATGGTGGCTCTGGCTGAAGCTTTTCCCACATGCGGTGCATTTGTACGGCCTGTCTCCAGTGTGAAGCCTCTCGTGTCTCACCAGACTCGACTTGTCGCAAAACTGTTTGCTGCAGGAGGAGCACGAGTATGGCTTCTCGCCCGTGTGCATTCTCTGATGTGAAATAAGGTTTGAGTTCCGACTGAACCCCTTCCCGCAGTCCAAGCATTTGAACGGCTTCACTCCCGCATGGATTTTGCTGTGGTTATTGAGATGTGAGCTCCGCCGGAAGTTTTTGCCACAGTCTGCACATTCGTACGGCTTCTCCCGGCCATGGACTCTTATATGCATGATGAAGCCAGCTCTGGAGATAAACACTTTGCCACAATCAGAGCAGTCATAGAGTTCCTGCCCCGAGTTGTTCCTCTGATGTCTGTTGAGGCCGTGGAACAATCTATCACTTGGCCTCTTTAATTTGGGGGTTGCCTGTTCGGCTGTCGTTTCACCCTCCGGCGCAACGGATTCATTCCTATGCTCCTCTGTTCCGTATTCCTTTGGCTCCGTTGGTTTTGAAATTGTCTCCTCAAAGTCCTGGCAGTTCTCTCCTTCTAGTGGCATCCCGTCATTTTCATCCTGACCTTCGTCACCTAATATTAATATAAGAATAATGAAAACCATTATTCTTCCTATTTCTGATTTTCAGGTTGCGAGTGGCGTTGCTGATGTAGCCAAAACACAGGATTTGGGGTGGTGTGAGGGAAGAACTAAGCTACCTGCAATGCGATTGGTCAGTAAGTTAAATATTTTTATTTATTTGCTACGCCCATGGCAGAACTACTCCATTCACACAGAAGAGGGTGTGCGGAACCCCAAGATTTGCAGAAGTGCACAAAAATAATCTGGTTAAGAAAACCCTAAAAGGGGGGGGACCCACAAAACAGTCAATGGAGAGATGAACTTGCTCACTGGCCATAGAATACTGATTGACATTTTAGGGGAGGAGGGGCAGCTGTGGGACAGCAAACCAGGAGAGGGAATGGGCTGAAGTGGCTGGAATCCTGAAAAGAGGCACTCCATGGTGTAACACGTTGTTGCAGGTCCTGCATGCCATAATTACAATAAGCATTTATGCAGGAACATGGAAGCAGTGGAGGCTGGTGCCCATTGGAGCTGGTAGGGCGGAAAGCAGACCAACAGAATCAATGACAGGCGGGATCAAAAATTCCAGCTGTATCTCCAGCCTCCTCCCTCCCTCTCTGCTGAGTTCTACAAGTGCCAACCCCAAGGAAGAAGCTGACAGGCAGTGCCAACAGCTGGGGTGGCTTTAAGTTTAAAAGGTTAAAAAAAAAGTCATCTGGCAAAGGAAAACTTGAATTTGATGGTAGAGCTGGGCCATATGTGATTTTCAACATTGGCGATATATCGCCAGCTAAACATTGTGATCTATTGATATAGGACAGGGGTTAGCAAACTTTTTCAGCAGGGGGTCAGTCCACTGGCCCTCAGACCTTGTGGGGGGGGGCGGACTATATGGGGGGGAAATGAACGAATTCCTATGCCCCACAAATAACCCAGAGATGCATTTTAAATAAAAGGACACATTCTACTCATGTAAAAACATGCTGATTCCCGGACTGTCTGCAGGCCGGATTTAGAAGGTGATTGGGTCAGATCCGGCCCCCGGGCCTTAGTTTGCCTACCCATGATATAGGACAATGTCTGAAATAAGGGTGGAGGTGATTTTCAACTTTGTGATATATCACCAGCTAAACATCTTGCTATATCAATATATCCCAATGTCTGAAATAAGGATGGAGCTACGTAAAGGCACTGGCTGGCTTTGCGGTTTTCCCCACATTGCAATTTTTGCACAACACACACACATAATTCGCAATATATTGCCAGGTCAATAACTAAGCCCATATCACGATATGGACTTCAAACTGGTTTTGAGTGACATATCAATATATCGCCCTGCCCTAGTTGTTGGGGCAGCGCCTCATTTATCTAACAGATCCACTGGGTAGAACCTGTTTTATACCAGGCCAAATTATTTGTGCACTGAGCCCAGCATGTTCTGCTTTGTATGTTCTCTGTAACCTTTCAAAGAAGGTTTCCTTGTCAGCTGGTACTCAATCCTTTTTGATTTGGAAGATGCTAGGAATCGAACCTGTGAACTTAGGTGGTGGAACATGTGCTCAGCTATGGGAACACCCACCCGTCCCCAGAGCCAAATGGCATATGTAACAGAAGTTTTGAAAAGGAAACAAGAGCAAGATAAGCAAGTGTACAACTTGCTTCCAGTGCAACTCATCCTTGCCTAGCACACTGGCTTCTTCTTCCTCCTCCTCCTCCTCTTCTCCCTTCCTCCTTGACCTCCCTGTAGAGCTGCCTGAGGGTCAGATCCATCGAAGAACCTTCTCCCGCAGAGAAATTCATAGCAGCCTCCTCTTTCATTCCCACCTGAAACAACGGGAGAGAATTTCAGTACAAGATGGCTCAGGGGTGGGGCACATAAGACGAGTCCTGCTGGATCACACCAACATCCTATTTCCTGCCATGGCCAGTCAGAGGCTTATGGGAAGCCCACAAGCAGGTCTAAAAGTCAACAGCCCTCCCCAAGACAGAGATGTATATACTGCATTCACCTATTGTGGTTAAAGAGCCATTGGTAAGCTCACTCGCTACAAATTCCTCATCCCCTTTTAAAGCTGTCTGAGCAGGTGGCTGTCACCTCATCTTGTGGCAGCGAGTTCCATAAGCTCAGCCACACATTTTGCTTGAAGAAGTGTGGTTTCCTGCCCCCCCCACTCCATGTCCTGAATCTACTCATCATCAATCTCACTGGAGGATATTTCCCACCCCAATCACCCTGCTGCAAAGTCTAGCACTGCAAAGAACAAAAACATTTCTGTCTCTTCCTCTACTTTATGCATGAATGCTGTAAATCTCACTCATGTCCCTACCCACTTTTGTTGCATCTTCCCCCCTCCGGAAGCAAAAAAGCCTTTCCTTGTAAAAAAAGTGCTCCATGGGACATTTTTGCTTGACCTTGTTTGCATCTCTCCCAGTCACACAAAGCGACTATTACCAGAATGACTCATCCCATAAGCCAGGGAAAGGGAACCGGGTCCAGCCAGCGGGCTGGATCCTGACCTACTCCTGCCAATCACCTGATGCCACAACAATGTCAGGTGACCTGTTTGGCTTTGCAGGTACTGATGGGCAACTGATCTTTCTGTGCTTGCTGCTGTTATCATCTGTGCTTGCAAAGGCACAGGGCTCAAATGGCCCGGCAAGACAACCTGGGAGGCTTAAGTAGCCCCAATTAGGCCCACGGACCCCAGGTTCCCCACTACTGCCGCCAGCTAAGTACCACAGCTTGCAATATATCCCACCACCAATAGCAAAGCCTGCTCAGGACCACTGAGAAGAAAATACCTGTTGGTCCTGCCTCTGAGCCTCTCGCTGCCTCAGGAGAAAATGCTCAGCAAGGGCCACAGCGTGGAAGCAGCTCTCTGAATCGCGTTCTCGGATCCAGCTCAGCATTTCTGGGGGCAGGATGGCCAAGAATTGCTCCAGAATCACCAGCTCCAGGATCTCCTCTTTGGTGTGCCTCTCTGGCATGAGCCACTGGTGGCAAAACTTCCGGAGTTGACAGTAGGCCTCCCACGGCCCCTCGGCTTCTTCATAGCCAAACTGCCGGAAGCGCTGGCGCTGGCATTCGGGACTGATGGACTCTGTGGCCTCAGCCTCGCTTGCCTGCTCATCGCTGCTCCCACTGTCGCTTTTCACACTTTGGGCCTCTTGGGCTGTCCGGGTGCGTCCCAACCCGAGCCGGGGCCTTGTCCTGCCTTTAGCCCACCGGCTGGTGGACGCTGCTCCTTCGGAGTGGGAAAGGGAATCCTTAACATTGTCCGTCAATGCTGTCTCTTCCAGTTCCAGGTCTTCCTGCCCTGACAGAGGGGACTCTGAGGCATCTGGGTAGTCCTGCCACTGCCCGTCCCACTGCCTGGGATGACAGTCCTTCGCCAACTTCCTGTTTAATGCCTTGCGGCGATGCTGCAACAATAACCGTCTCCACCTCGGCGGCCAGGGAGGTCTCCCCGGTTCTTTGCAGCCCTCTCCTGGATCCACGTTCTCGCCTCTCCATTTTTATTTCTGGCTTCACGTGCTGGTCAAACTCATGAAGGTCCAGGGGCGAAAATTCTGCTGCCTTCTCTGTCGTCATTTTCCACCCACAACCACCCTCTCTCTCTTTTTTAATAAGCGACGATCCTAGCTAAGCTCTGTCCCTCCATCCCCTTTCAGGCCGACATAGTGGAAAGCTTCTTTGCTTCGTAACTGCAATTACAGCAAGGTGGCAGCAAGTCAAGGCAGAACTCCAGCCATGATAAGAGTTTCTGTGAACAGCCCTAAGACCTCCGGGTATAGGGGGGTATATAAATTCAAAAAACGACAATAATAATGATGATAATAAGCAGACCCCAAGAGCTCAGTCCAATGCAAATCTTCCTCAGACGTCTTCGCTCGTCTGTGGCTGCCCTGAAGGACAAAAAGCACAAACAACAAGTGAGGCAACCAGGAGAACATTGCTCTTCTCCCTAGTAAGAAGTGGTATTTTTTTTTTTTTTTACAAGTGGAACCTGCAGCAAAAAATGGTGCATTGTGTTCTCACCTCCAAAGAGAAAGGCTGCTTTTCAGGCTTCCAGTTAGCTGGGACACTTCACTTCATTCTCCAATCCCACTTATTCCCCCCTCCCTCCGACAGTATATTCTTGTACATCAGCAAACATGGATAGGTCAGTTGGTTTAGAGTGTGATGCTGGTAATGCCAAGGTTGCAGGTTCAATCCCTGTATGGGACTGCTGCATATTCCTGCACTGCAGAGGGTTGGGCTTAGCTGATCCTCAGGGTCGCTTCTCCTATGATTCTATTATTTGGTTTCCTGCAATCCTGGCCATACCTCCCTCTGTTTCTACGCAACCCCATTGTGGCTTAAAAGTTGTCAGCGCTCAACATGTGAGCGCATTATTACAAGGAGTGATTTATTTTAGCGCATTCATTTCCCACCGTTTCAAGGCTGTGTACAGAGTTGTGATCCCCACTCAATTACCCTAGAAAAGGGGGCAGAAACCTTTTTCAGCCCTGGGCTGGTCCACCATCCCTCAGACCTTGTGGAGGGCCAGACTATATTTTGGAGGGAAAAAATGAACAAATTCCTATGCCCCACAAATAACCCAGAGATGCATTTTAAATAAAAGGACACATTCTACTCATGTAAAAACATGTTGATTCCTGGACCCTTCGCAGGCCAGATTGAGAAGGCGATTGGGCCGGATCCAGCCCCTGGGCCTTAGGTTGCCTACCCCTGCCCTAGAACAAGCCAGGATTTTTTTTAAAAGCTTGATGCAAGAATGGCACCAAAGTAGACACCAGGTGAGTGCATTTTATAATTAAGATGCCACCACCAGAAATTCAATTTCTATGGTAACACACGGGAAGTCTTGAATCCAAGTACAGTGGTACCTCGGGCTAGAGATGCTTCAGGTTACAGACTCTACTAACCCAGAAATAGTACCTTGGGTTAAGAACTTTGCTTCAGGATGAGAACAGAAATCGCATGGCGGTGGTGTGGCGGAAGCAAGAGGCCCCATTAGCTAAAGTGGTACCTCAGGTTAAGAACGAACCTCCAGAACGAATTAAGTTCTTAACGCGAGGTACCACTGTACTAACCAAGTACTGACCCTGCTTAGCTTCCAAGATCAGGCAAGACGGAGCTTGCTCAGGTGAAAACACGAGCAGGCACATGTGGAGCATTCTGTCACCAAGCCGTGAAGAGCAACATTAGGGGAGAGGTGTTTCTAGCTACCCCACCTCCTGTCTTGGAAGACTTGCAAGGTGCTGTAGGAGGAGAGGGTCTCTGAGTGAAAGGCGGGATATCAAATCCAAACTCTTCTTCTTCTTCTTCTGAGCAACTGAGCCCTGGGATCATCATCCGAGGTGCTTCTTCGTGTGCCTCCTCCACAAGAGTCCTGGAGGGTGGCAACATGAAAACGGCCTTTTTTGTGGTGGCTCCCCATTTGTGGAATGCTCTCTCCCTTAGGTGGCAGGCAAAAACATTTCTCTATAACCAGGCCTTTGGCTGATTTACATTATATGGCCTTTTAAATTTGTTTGTGGGAGGGGGTGCTATTAGTTTGTTTTTGTTTCATTATGTCTTTTGTATTCACATTTTGTATTTTTTTTGTTGGGAATTGCCCTGTGATCTTTGAATGTAGGGCAGTATACAATTTTAATAAATGAATGAATAAATAAAAATAACATCATGGGAAAGGTGTTTCTAGGACCAAGGTGAAACTGTCAAGCTTCCTTGTTAACTTTGCTGTTGGATATTACGCTATCTTCTTATATTTATAGTACTGAAATGTTGCCGTTGTTTTGTATGTTGCTGTATTTGATATTGTGTTGTTGTTTTATTGTGCAGCTTTGTAACTGTTTTGCAGTGCTTGGCTTTGAAATACATCTCGGCTTCATTTGTTGTAAGCCGCTTTGAGCAATGGGGGGGGGGCTGGGGGGTGGAAAAGCAACATACAAATAAAACACTGAATGAATGAAGAGCTTTAAAGGTTAAAACCAGCACTCTGAACTGAGCGTGGGAACACATGGGGAGTCAGTGGCAAGGAGTACCATAGCTCAGCTTCCCTCAAGTTACCGTAAATACAGACATTTTCTCTAGGGATATTGTGGAGTCTGCTGAACAAAATGGAAATGGCTTTATCCATTATTTTCCCCCCTTCTAACACCCACATGCCTCTCAAAGTACTATATTTTCCTGTTCTCCTACTGATGAATGGAGGAATTAGAATCCATATGCCTCAATAGCTGCCCCCCACTCAGAAATTGCTCTGTAAGCAGTCTAGCCATCTGTATGCATGCCTTCTCAGAAAATGCAGGAATTAATCTACCTATTTGTTGAAACTTGTGTAATAGAGCTTTGCACATGCTCTTGTGCCCTGGAAGTTGTTTTTATACAGAAAGTGGCTCTGATCAGAAATGAGAGAAGCCCAACAACCCCCACTTTTGAGTTTGCTACAAAATGCTGTGTAAGCTGGCTATTTAAGAAAGTCAGTCACAAGATGTCTGGTGTCTGTTTCTAAACTTGCACAGGTCAGCTGTATGGGCAAGAAACCAGCACAGGCTGGCAGATGCAGACAGGACAGGAGCGGGGTGGGGTGGGGGAGAGACTAGAAAGTTCTTACAGTGGTACCTCGGGTTACAGATGCTTCAGGTTACATACGCTTCAGGTTACAGCCTCCGCTAACCCAGAAATAGTACCTCGGGTTAAGAACTTTACCTCAGGATGAGAACAGAAATCGTGCGGCGGCAGTGGGAGGCCCCATTAGCTAAAATGGTACCTCAGGTTAAGAACAGTTTCAGGTTAAGAACGGACCTCTGGAACGAATTAAGTTCTTAACCCGAAGTACCACTGTACTTTGCAGTTTGGGCGAACAAGGAGTGGGGAGGGGAGAAGCTCATCTGTTATTCTGCCTGCTTGAGTAAAGTTCCTCTTTTTTGCCTGCTCGTTTGTAACTCACTATAAGAAGGGCCCTTAAACTGATTCGGGGCCTCAGTCTTTGAGAGATATCTCACTGGGGTCACCTGCGCAGGTCAATAAATGCTAACCTTCCTTGGAAAGTTCCAGTGTCTGTCGTCATTGACTGGAGACTCCTGCAACATTTCCACACTCAGCAGGTACCTTATTCTCCCACCCGACCTCAAGCTGACAATTTCTTTTTTCTTTTTCCTCCCCCCTAGAGTTTTTACGTTTATCCCTTCTTCCAAAAACACCTTTATTCTCTTATCCCATTATAGTCCCAGTTTTTTAAGAAACTGTGGTAATGAATATCAATTTTCCTTTGTAGGAGAATGTACTTCAAATAATACTAGCCCTTGGTGCTGTGGGTTAAACCACAGAGCCTAGGACTTGCCGATCAGAAGGTTGGCGGTTTGAATCCCTGCGACGGGGTGAGCTCCTGTTGCTCGGTCCCTGCTCCTGCCAACCTAGCAGTTCAAAAGCACATCAAAGTGCAAGCAGATAAATAGGTACCGCTCCGGCAGAAAAGTAAATGGAGTTTCCGTGCGCAGCTCTAGTTCGTAAGAAGCGGCTTAGTTGTGCTGGCCACATGAACCGGAAGCTGTATGCCGGCTGCCTCGGCCAATAAAGCGAGATGAGCGCCGCAACCCCCGAGTCGTCTGCGATTGGACCTAATGGTCAGGGGTCCCTTTACCTTTACCTCCTCTGGCCTCCTCTCAGAAGATGGAGGCCTTACATCTCTAAACACACAAGGCTTCCTTGTCATCTTTGCTCAGGAAACGAGGAGCTACTGGTCCTGGCTTGAGCTTTCGCCACAGCACTGGCCCAATTTAGAGGCAACAGCATTGCTAGGAGATATGGCAGGCATGTGAAAAGCCCACCAGCCAGGCTGCGGCATGGAAGCCCACCTGAAAGGAGGCCCAAGGCCCACTGGTGGCTTACGAGCCCATTCTTTGAGATGCAGCACTTTTAAGCGATTTCAATTTAATATTGTATTTATATTGTTGTAGTCCATTCCAGTGACCTGCTTGTGAAGGCCAGATAAAGTACTACTAGCAAATAAACACAGCGTAATAAATAAGATTATCACCGCTCTTTGTTAGTGGGTAAAGGGAAAGTAAGAACTTCCGGTATGCATTTAAGTGGAGTTTGATATGAAACCAAAACCTCGTTGGCTCTAATGTCTTCCAAATGCCTGAGTTACATCCTGCTGGGATTATTGTAACACATTCTGGGTGGGGCCGCCATTGCGAAATGCTCAGAAATTTCAACGGGATCAAAGAGCTGCAGAGAGATTGCTGACCGGGGATGGTTAAAAGTAGTGTATGACACCCTTGTTACAACCGGGCCATTCAAAGTGCTGGTTGTGACCTGTAAAGTCCTATACAAGATGGGTCCTTGGCATCTGAAAAACTGCATTGCTTCGTATGAACCTGCCTGATCTCTGGGATCTTGGTGGGAGCCTGTTCTCCCAGGGACACTTGCTAAGGGCGCAAGGCAGGGCCTTCTTGGCGTTGGCACCCAGACTATGGAACTCCCTCCCTGGAGAGGTTAGACTGCCTCCCTCTTTGTCCTTCCACCAGCAAGTTAAGACTTTATCATCCAAACCGACTTTGGGGGAACTGACTGCTTTTTAGTGAAAGGGCTGACGCCCTGCTTCTCTTATTGCAATTATTTGTCTGAGATTTTCTTTCCCTCCTCCCCACAGCATGGATTTTCACCGCGCTAATTACATTGCACACCCAGCTGTTGAATGGAAGTGCGGAAGGAGAGCGCAAATTATGGGATGTCGAGGCCCCCTCCCCTCCCCCTCTTCCCCCGCCTGCAGCTTTTCTGCTCCCCAAGAACCAGGCAAACCCGCCTTCCAACTTACCGGTCCCGGGCGAGGCCTCCTTCCAGCTCCTCCCAATGGAAGCTGCGATGACAGGGGCTCTTGGCAGGGAAGCTGCAGTTTCCTAGCAAACACAATCAGGCATGCATTTTAACAAAAAGCAACAGAACAGTTTGCAAATTTGCAAGGGGAGAAAGAAGAAGGAGGAGGCGGCGACCACCAGCTCCGGAAGATTGCATTCGGCAGGAAGGAAGATTCTCCTCCTCCCTCCCCAAACCCTCTTCCTCTCTAGCCATCTGAACTGCGCTGATTTAACCATTAGAGAACCACGGGGCGCTTTCATGAACTATGCATTTTTATTTCTATTTTTTTAAAGAGAAGGTTCGGCATTAAAATGGCATGTGCTCTGCCTGGTGGGGTGGGGAACCTGACGTCTTTCCTGCAAGACTGTATTAATCTGAAAGGGGCCGGGGGCTGGCGGGGGTCACGCTGGCCTTTCCGCCCCTTTCCTTCGATGAAAGAGAATATCCTTTGTTTGAAATGGATCCTGAAAGGGTTAAGTGAAGAGAGAGAGCGCACCAATTTCCTAGATAGGCTTTCCTAGATAGGTCATGGAACGGCGTTGGATTCCACTTCCGGCCCCTCCCCTTTGGCTGGAAGAGGGGGAGGGGGGATGTTGCAGCAGTTGAAAGGCAGCTGTCAGCTGTCACGGACCTCGTTCTTTGTAGCGGAATTGCAATTGCTGCGCCAGTTTTTCTTTTTTAGCAGCAAATATAATTAAACTTGAGATAATCACAGCCTATTTTCTGCCTGTTTACAGTCGTTGTTTCTAATGATTTAGGTGGCGTCCCTTGGCAGGCTCACCTGGGGATAAAAACTTACCAAATAAAGTGGTGAAAATATGAAATAAATATGCTTAGGATTGCACCCCTGGTTTGTAGTGACTGTTCCCGTGATGAGTGAGGATGGGAGCAGGAGTCCCAACAACAACTTGAGGCCCATAGAATCAGCCAGTGCTCCCCCCCCGGGGGGCACTTAAGGGTACGCAGTAGTAGCACATCTCTCTCTCTCTTTGGTTGTTAAAATGTGTAGCACTTACTGTAACAACCTCATAGTGAGCACCAGCACCTGTTTTTCTAGGGGGGGAAACACTGGGTTCAGCATTCCTGCTTTATGCTGATTTAAACATTGCTGTTTTTCACCTTGCGTTTCCCAGATTGTACTTCCCTTTTCATTTATTTTATTTTAGTTTTTTATTTTTATTGGATTATGATTTAATATGTTAATTGGATGTTTTTTATTGGAAAATTAATAAACACTCTAACAAAAAGAAGAAGTACATTTCAATGATTTCCGTGGTGTTCATTCCCCAGAAGCTTTGAATAGCATTGAAGCTGTGATGCTATTCTTTTTTCCCCTTTTCATTTTGATACATATTTTAATGATATTTTTTTTAAAAATTATGTGAGCAGCCTGGAGAGGACCTTCCTGGAAAAGGGCTAGGTATACTGTGCAATAGAATCAATGGGGGAACCGTGTTTGTGTGTTAAAGTGGCCCTTCACGCCCCCTTTCTGGCCCTGCTTCGCACCCACCCTGAGTGTTTTTACTTAGCTAGAGGAGGGGTGTTGGTTGTGGAAAGTAGCTTTCTGCACAAAGGCAAAATTTCAATGACTTGCACCCCCCCTTTTTTCTCTGGCCCCTGCTGACATGTGCCCCCACCCCAGAAGGGAATGTGGCGCTCAGGGTGAAACAAGCAGTGGTGTAGCGTGGGTTGTCAGCACCCGGGGCAAGGCAAGTAATTTGCGCCCCCTAATCCGTGGATTTGCGCCCCCTAACCCTAACCCCCAGATGTTGCGCCCGGTGCGGCCGGCCCCCCCTGCACCCCCCACGCTACGCCTCTGGAAACAAATTCTCTACCCCTGGAATGAATGAATGAATGAATATGCTCACTTGCTTGGGAGAAAACACACTGGGACTTCTTAGTGAGTAAACATGCATTGACTTGGGTTGTAAGCAACACATGTATTCTCCCCACCCTCTTCTCATTTTATATCATTTGATTTAGGCATCTGGCCAGGAGTGTGGTTTTTTTTGGGGGGTAGGGGCAGCAGCCCTAATTTTTACATCTAGTCATTTCATTGAAATCCAGCTCGCTTCTTCTGCAGAGATGCTCATGGGGTTAATTGCACAGAGCTCTGTTGCCTAGAGAGGACCAGGGAATGTGTGTGCATCGCATGTATGTGTGTGAAAAGGAGAGAGAATGAGAGTTTTTATTTTTTTTTATAATAATTTTTATTGCATTTTTCCAATTACAGATATAGCAAAGAAAAAAAAGGAAAAAATAAGAAAAGAAAAAGGAAAAACCATAACATTTCAATAGCTTATTTCAACTTTCTATCGAACTTCCCCACATCTCCCACACAGTGCATTCCTGACAATAAATTTATCAGCAAATTATAACCTTGTTTCGTGTGTTTCTTTTGTACTTTCGATTGCAATTTAAGTTTAAATCCCTTATTATCCATTTACTCTAAAAGCAAAACATATTATCATTTTTAGCCATTTAAACTTTGATTCTTTCAATAATATTATCCAATTTCATATAAATTCCACTTTCATTGCTGGGGCTAACATTCCAAATCATGCGGCACCTTATAATTCATATAACTTATAAAGTTTTTGCAAATAGTCCTTGAATTTCTTCCAGTCCTCCTCCATCGCTTCTTCTCCCAGATCTCGGATCCTGGCAGTCATCTCGGCCAACTCCATATAGTCAATCAATTGCGTTTGCCACTCTTCCAGTGTGGGCAAATCTTGAGTCTTCCAGTATTTGGCGATAAGAATTCTTGCTGCTGTGGTTGCATACATAAAAAACGTTCTGTCCTTCTTTAACACCTTTTGGTCCATAATGCCCAAGAGGAAGGCCTCCGGTTTCTTAAGAAAGGTGTACTTAAACACCTTCTTTAACTCGTTATAAATCATCTCCCAGAAGGCCTTCACTCTTGGACAGGTCCACCAAAGGTGAAAGAATGTTCCTTCAGCCTCCTTACACTTCCAACATTTGTTATCAGACAAATGGTATATCTTAGCAAGCTTGACTGGGGTCATGTACCACCTGTATATCATTTTCATAATGTTTTCTTTCAAGGCATTACATGCCGTGAATTTCATACCGGTGGTCCATAACCTTTCCCAGTCTTCAAACATGATATTGTACCCAATGTCTTGAGCCCACTTTATCATAGCTGATTTAACTGTCTCATCCTGAGTATTCCATTTAAGCAGCAAGTTATACACTCTCGATAGTACCTTGGTCTTTGGTTCTAACAGCTCTGTCTCAAGTTTTGATTTTTCCACCTGGAATCCTGTTTTTTTGTCCAACTTAAAAACCTCATTAATTTGGGCATAATGAAACCAATCTTGTATCTTATCCTTTAATTTTTCGAAGCTCTGCAACCTCCAATTATCTCCAATTTTTTCTATTAACTCCCAATATTTCGGCCAGCCGGCCTCCATATTGGGTTTTTTCCACGCCTTGGCCTCCACTGGTGATAACCACCTCGGGGTCTTGCTTTCAAGTAAGTCTTTGTATTTTGTCCAGACCATAAATATTGCTTTTCTGACAATATGGTTTTTAAACATTTTATGTGTTTTCACCTTGTCATACCACAAATACGCATGCCAACCTAACGAATTATTAAAGCCTTCCAGATCTAGGACATCAGTGTTTTCTAACAAAATCCAATCTTTCATCCAGCAGAAGGCTGCAGCTTCGTAGTATAACCTTAAGTCCGGCAGGGCAAACCCCCCTCTGAGAATGAGAGTTTTTAAAAGATGAAGCTACTTTCCTGCACTGCTGCACAGAGAGCTAAAAAGAAAAAGGCAACCAACCCCCTTCCTGTCCTGCTGTTATTTCCTTCCTGATTATTTAAAATAATAATAAACTTCCCCTTTTAGGAGCATATGCTATCCTTGGTGATACTGGAGGATTGTAAATACAGTATTCCCAGAAGGTGCTATGCAAAAGCTACATGGAGCAGGTGAGTTTAAGCAGGGAAGTGGATTCAGGGGAAGGAGGGATAAAAGCAGAAGGGGCAGGCATCTGTGTGTGTCAGAAGGAAAGGAGGGTTCTTGCAGATGGCCATTGAGCCTGCTTTTGCAGGGAGGTTAGATAATGTTGGCTATTTGTTGAGCATTCCCTCTGATTATTTTTTTTGCAGGAAGCTTAGGTGTCTGCATACACTCTACATATTTATAGCACATTTCTCCCACCTGCCCTAAAGAATCCCGGGAACTGTAGTTTGTTAAGGATGCTGGGGATTGTAGCTCTGTGAGGGGTAAATTACAATTCCTGAGACTGAATTCATGGTGTGTACATCAGTTATCCCACACTTTCCAATACATTTCAACCATCACTTTCCTGACCGCAAAAGTCTGATTTTAGGGTTTGATTGCTGCACTACGGCAGCATCCAGGCTGTCACTATTTTCAGGTAGGTTTCGATCACATACCTCAAATTCAGCTTGTGCAATTACAGTTGATATCAATGAAGGAATATAAATCATTAACCTTTCAATTTCCTTTCCTCTGGTCGCCTCCAGATTATCTCTGTGTTGAACAACTCAGGGTGCACTTAGCAGAAAAGACTGCCTGCCTCTGCATAGGCCTGTAAGATCACTTAGATCATGCTGGGAAATTCTGTAAGGTCACTTGTAGAGACCTATCCTTTTGCCAAAGTTTTCCTTGACCCATAAGATCAAACATGTCCACACCATACCTTGGAAGCACCTAGAACTCCTCCAAAGAATTATGGGAACTGGAGTTTGTTGAAGGTGTTGGGAATTGTAGCTCTGTGAGGGGTAAACTGGAGTTCCCAAGATTCTTTGGCAGAAGCTATGCATGGTATGGATCTGCACATTCCTGTTTTTATTTGTTTCGGTATGGAATTGTTTATTTATATAACACTTTTTAGCCTAAAGGCACCCGAAGTCGTGAAGAAGATTAGTACGTATCAGTATAAAAGAAAATGCACAGTAAAAGTACAGTTCATAAAATGCACCGCTCAAAGCAATATTAACAGGATCTTCAACATCATGGGGTGGGAAGATGTTCCACTTAGAGCAGGTCGAAGGAAAGTCCTCCATTTTAGAAGCAGAGTTTTAACCTGTGTTGATACATAGAATCATTGAATTGTAGACTTGGAAGGGAACCCGGGGGTCATTAGTCCAACCCCCTGCAATGCAGGAATATGCAGCTGTCCCATACGGGGATCGAACATGCAACCTTGGCATTATCATCAGCACCATGCTCTCACCAACCAAGCTACCCAGTATTACTGGTTTTATGTTGTTTAATTTTTTTAAAACGTTGTTTATATTGTTTAAGGGTTTTAAAATCTTTAATCAGTTTATAAAATTTTTACATAAATAAAATCCCCCTTTTTCAAATCATGTGATAAAAAGATTGACTTTTCTTCTCTTCCTCCAAGAAGCAAAGCTAGGAACAAAAATGGAAAAGCAGGAAACTTCAACAGGACCCGAGCCTGGGAACAAACCAAAAGGCAGAGGAGGAGATCCTTGTGTTGTCCAAGCTGAGACCACCCAGGAGCTCCTGACTGGGGTGGCCCCCCAACAAATCAAACAAGAGCCAGAAGAAGGCCGAGAATGGTGCTGGGAGGCCCAGTGGCAGGTGTTCTTGAAGACAGCCAAGTCCCCTCACTCAGAGTGGCGGCACCTGCAGCTGCCCAGTCCCACCTTGGAGGAGAACTCAAAGTCTTCTCAGGCTCCCCTGAAGGGGACATCCAATGCCATCCTGCGGCCTATAGGGGAGTGGCTGACTCAGACCCTGCCTGACCTCCTTGGAGAGGCCCAGCAGGTGTGTCGGAGCCTAGACCCCCCTCCAACGGTGAAGGTTGAAGAGGCTCTGGAGGGGGACGCAGCCAGGATGGAGATGCGGCGACAACACTTCAGGCAGCTGTCCTACCATGAGGCCAAGGGCCCCCGGGAGATCTGCAGGAAGCTCCGGGAGCTTTGCTGCCAGTGGCTGACTCCCGAGAAACACACCAAGGAGCAGATCTTAGACCTGCTGATCCTGGAGCAGTTCTTGACCATTATGCCTCGGGAGATGCAGAACTGGGTGAGGGAAAGGGGCCCAGGGACGTGTGCTGAGGCGGCGGTCCTGGCCGAGGATTTCCTCTTGATACTCCATGAGTCGGAGAGACGGGAAGTAAAGGTATGAGGCGTATGAGGTGTTTTAGTCACTTTGAGGTGCCAATTGGAGTGGTGGCTGGTTTATTTGGGCAACTGGGCCTCACCAAGCTTGGTCTGTCCTCAGCCAGCTCCCAGATCCCTGGATCTGTCCAATGGGGAATCGAGTCCAGCATCCAACTAGATGGGAAGCCTTCACTGCTTGCCTACAGCCTAGAAACATATGCATGCTGTTGACTTCTCCCTTTCCTCCACTCCAGGTTCCCGGGCTCTTGGAAGAGACCCTTATTAATGCCTCCAAGTCAGAGCAAAATTTACCAGACTCTGCAAAGATGCAACTGTCCATGGAATTCACACCGCTGGGTAAGGATTGGTGTGCGCAAAACGGTCAGCTGCTGGAGCCCCTTTTCCACTGGTAGAAGAACGTAGGAAGCTGTCTTAACCTGAACCAGACCCACTGGCCAGTTTGGCTCAGTATTACCCACACTGACTGGCAGCAGCTCTGCAGGATTGCAGACAGGAGTGTTTCCCCAGCCTTTCCCAGAGATGCTGAGATGAAATATAGCACTTTCTTCAAGCAAGGCAGATGCTCTGTTGCTGGACAATGGCCCCTTCCCAAATGATGATAATGATTAATTTATACCCCACCCATCTGGCTGGGTTTCCCCAGCCAGTCCTGGCTGCTTCCAGCACAGTAAAAACTTCCTGATACAAGGCTGCCTTCAGATGTCTTCTAAAAGTTGTGCAATTCTTTATCTCCTTGACATCTGATGTGAGGGCATTCCACAGGGAGGGTCTCGCTGCCAAGAAGGCCCTCTGCTTGGTTCCCTGTAACTTCACTTCTCACATTGAGGGAACTACTAGAAGGCCCTCGGAGCTGGACCTCAATGTCTGGGCTGAACGATAGGGGTGGAGACGCTCCTTCAGGTCTTTGCAGAAGCTCTGTCTCATGCCCACAGATAATGATTCTCTGCTTATTCCTAGGAGTCCAAGACCCAGTGCTGGAGAACGAAGAGGAGCCCTTTCATGTGAAAAGTCCCGAGCCTGGAGATGTGGGATCCAGTGGAATATCCTTAGAAAGAGCCAAAGATAATGTCTTCCAGGCTCCCAAGTTGGAAAAGATCCCTGGAAACAAGGGGGGACCAGAAAGGCACCAGGAAAGCTTTCTGTGGAAGATAGCACAGCAGGCCTTCCTCTGCGAAGGAAGCGGCCAGACTTTCCACGAAAACGTCGTCCGTGACAGGACGTGCCCACGAAACAGCATCGCCAGCACCGACTACGAGAAGAGCCTCTGCCAGAGCTTGGACCTCCTCAAGAACCAGAAGAAACGGCTGAGGAAGTTCAAATGCTCCTACTGCGGGGCCACGTCCAACATTCGAGCAAACATTGTCGCTCACGAGAGAATCCACACCGGCGAGAAGCCCTACGGCTGCTTAATCTGCGGCAAAAGCTTCAGCCGGAAGTCAACCCTCGTGCGGCACAAGAGGACCCACACGGGGGAGAAGCCGTACGAGTGCTCGGCGTGCGGGAAGAGCTTCAGCATCCGATGTAACCTTTTGCGGCACGAGCGGGTCCACACGGGAGAGAAACCCTATCACTGCAAATGCTGCGGCCAGAGCTTCAGTCGGAGGCTCTTCCTTGTGATTCACGAGAGAACCCATGCAGGAGAGAAACGTGTATAGAAGCTTGGAGTGTTGGCGGAGAGGTGTCACTCTTTCCCTTCCTCTTTCTCTCGATCTCTTACATACAGGACACCAAGTTGGCAACCCCTGAAATATCTCTTGCAATACCTAGATCATCCACTGGGTGCCACTATTTCCCCTCTCACTGATAAACACAATTTCCACCAAAGGGCTTTGTTTTCCTTTGCAACTTCTGGCAAGTATTAGCACAATACAGTAATATTGTGAAATATGATATAAATTTCCTGTATATATTACATTTATAAATATGGAAATTGACTACATTTTCCAAGGGGTGATGTGCTTCAAATGCGCAGTGTGTGTGCAGGCCTAGCCACAACGCACACTAGCTGACATTGTTCTTTCTTAGTCTAGCCTCCCTCACAGGGTTGTTGGGAGGATAAAATGGGGGGTGGGGGTGGAGAGAGAACAGTGTATGGCCTTTTTGGGTGGGCAGACTAAAAACTGAACAGATGAATAATACTAGTTCACATGGGCAAGTCAAACCACAGAATATATTGAAATCTGAACATCGTTATTGTTTCTTCCTGTGTGGACTTTCTGATGCTCACAAAGACTAGTGTGCACCTTCCGTCATATTCAGAGTGCTCAAATGATTTCTCGCCTCCATTTGTTCTCCTCTGTACAAGTTCCCCCAAAGTTTAAGAATTTTACTCTTCTTATTTACATGAGGCTTTTGTCAAGGAAAGGGGATGCGGGTGGCGCCGTAGGTTAAAACACAGAGCCTAGGACTTGCCGATCAGAAGGTCGCCGGTTCGAATCCCTGTGACGGGGTGAGCTCCCGTTGCTCGGTCCTTGCTCCTGCCAACCTAGCAGTTCAAAAGCATGTCAAAGTGCAAGTAGATAAATAGGTACCGCTCTGGCGGGAAGGTAAACCCAGAAGCGGCTTAGTCATGCTGGCCACATGACCCGGAAGCTGTACGCCGGCTCCCTCGGCCAATAAAGCGAGATGAGCGCCGCAACCCCAGAGTCGGCCATGACTGGACCTAATGGTCAGGGGTCCCTTTACCTTTATCTTTGTCAAGGAAATGCAAGCGTTTTTATTTTATAAAAAAGTTCCCTACTCCTAGGAGTTTTTTTATTTTATTTTATTATTGTGGGGGAGCAGATGAATAGTAACAAGGGATGGTTGTGAACAAATGAAGTCACAAATATTTAAGCTGCATTGTTCCATAGCCTCTCTATTCTGCCGTTTCAGGCAACGCGGAGCCTGCAGGCACTCTAGCCACAACGTCACTCCCAGGAGAGACGCCTGGCTTGGGCATACTGCAGGCCCCGCAGTAAGCGCCGGCCCCCACAGTGTGGCACCCAGTGCCGGCCACCTTTCATTACGTTTGTTGACTGAACTGTGAGTTCAGTCGTGAGCCCATTTATTTTTTTTAAAAATTAAAACTAATATTTTTGTCACTCCCCACAGGGATGACACCCAGGGCGGTCCGCCCCCTAAGAGTTGGAAAGAATCCCCTCCCCCAAGAAATATGCTTTTATTCATTTGAATGATGAGTTCACAGAAATCTTTTCTACCATTGCTCTCAATAAGCCTGTCAATAAGGTGCACACTCTGGAAAATGAAGTACAAATGCTATCAACAAACATACAAAATGCAAATTCAGTCAACTAAAAATAACCAGCATAAAGTAAGCTCCATAAGAAGCAACACAAGATGAATAACAACAAGAAATCCACACTAAAATCCAGCAAGAAGAAACACAAAAAAATTCTAAGAATTAGGATGTATTAAACTAGTATGATTAAAAAGTCTAGGAGAACAAGGAAGTTCACCTGGGGGAAAAATTTCTTCTTTGGGGAGTATCCCATAAATCGGAGGGGGGGGGGTTTACCACAAAGCATAGCTGTCAACTCTTCCCTTTTTTGCGAGGAATCCTATTCGGAATAAGTGAATTTTCCCTTTTTTTTAAAAAGGGAAACGTTGACAGCTATACTGCAGAGGTCTCAATGTGAATTGTAGGGAGTGTGGTTCCTTCAAGAAACTGCTTGACTGCAGTTCCCATCATGCTGCAGCCTGACCCCTGGGCCAAGCTGGCTAGGGCTGATGAGAGCAGGAGGCCAGAGACATCAGACATTTGTAAACTGCTTATTTTGCACAATCAAGCAATGTATAAATTTAACAAAAAATAATAACAAATTGACTACTCATGATAAAGAGAACCTAGTTTACTGGAAAACATTAAGGCAGCAATCTTATGTGCAATTAGCTAGGAGGAAGTTATAATGAATTCAAGGAAATGTACCTTGTTAAGTGCGGACAGGAGAAACTGTGTTCACCGAATGGGCTGAGGATGGGGCCTTGCCTCTCTTCATTTCCTTCCTGTCTGAGGTCTAAAAAGCAATGAGCAACCACAACATCGTCGGAGGAGGGATTATTTTGTAGTGATCAACTCCTGTAGTCTAATAATGTCCACATCTAAATTGCTGGTGGCGGTCTTGTGGGCAGGTGGAGAGGGAAAAATTGAACCCAGGACTGACAGTGATGGAAGCTGAACCCCTTTAAAAAACAGATTTCAGGGTACTGTTAAGTGTAAATGGCCTCCTTAAGAACTAAATGATAGTGGGGAATGGAATGAAAAAGTGGAACCCCTTTTTGCTATTTCTACCAATTGTGACTGAAGTGAATCCTCCCTCAACTGCTAATAAGTGTTTGCTTTATAGAGCAACCATTCCGGTCTGGAAAGAAACTCTGCCTGAGCGTGTGACGCAGTTGTCTCCTCAGGCTATTCTGAGGTGGGTTTTCTCTCCCCACAGATAGAAGAAAGGGAGGAGGGTCTCTCCAGAGAACGAGGCTCCTGAGAACGTGTAGAGAGGGGCTCCTGAATCGGCGTTGAGAAAAGTCACTTCCCCTGCTTCATAATTCAGAAACACTTGGATCCTCTTGAGCTCCCCTCTCAGGAAGAGAAAAGGGACATCAGGCGGGTCAAAGGCCTTGTACTCTCCTCCCCACCTCCCCACAGCCCAGATCCCTTCCTCGGAACTTAAGTGAAAGGAGCCCTTTCTCCTCAATGACTTCCTGGTGACCCCCACTGCCCATTCTCCCTCTCTTTCTACAATGACCTCCCAAAAATGCCTGCCTGCTGCAAATCCCTCCCTTCCCAGCACGGAAATAACTGTGTCGAATCTCTCAGGGTTGTCGGGCAGGTCTTGACGCGGGGCTCCCAACCTCACGCTTTTGCGATCCTCGGAGAGGGCAAGAATACGATTAGCCGTGTCTGGATCCAGAGTGACATTTGCTGTTTTGAGGGAAGGTGAGGAAAAGGGAAGAGAGGCAGAATGAGCTGAGACAGAGATGGACATCCTGATAATAATAATAATAATAATAATAATAATAATAATAATAATAATTTTATTTATATCCCGCCCTCCCCAGCCAAAGCCGGGCTCAGAGCGGCTAACAACAGTAAAAATAACACAGTTTACATAAAATCACAATCAATTAATTGAAATCCATTCTAAAATCAATTCATTCTAAAAACAATTCAGAATCAATTAATGGCAACCATTGGGCTACAGTTCTGTGAGGATTACCGAAAGAGGGGGTCAGACTGTACCTTGGCCAAAGGCCTGGTGGAACAGCTCTGTCTTGCAGGCCCTGCGGAAATATGTCAAGTCCGCACGGCCTTAGTCTCTTGTGACAGAGCGTTCCACCAGATCGGAGCCATATCCGAGAAAGCCCTGGCTCTAGTTGAGGCCAGCCTAACCTCTCTGTGGCCTGGGACCTTCAAGATGTTTTTATTTGAAGACCGTCAGGTCCTCCGTGGGGCATACCAGGAGAGGCGGTCCCATAGGTACGAGGGTCCTAGGCCATATAGGGCTTTAAAGGTTAAAACCAGCACCTTAAACCTGATCCTGTACTCCACCGAGAACCAGTGCAGCTGGTATAGAACCGGGTGAATGTGATCCCGCAGTGAGGACCCCGTAAGGAGTTTCACCGCGGCATTCTGCACACGCTGGAGTTTCTGGGTCAGTCTCAAGGGCAGCCCCATGTAGAGTGAGTTACAAAAATCAAGTTTGGAGGTGACCGTCGCATGGATCACAGTGGCTAGGTCAGGGCAAGAAAGGTAAGGAGCCAACTGCTTAGCTTGGTGGAGATGAAAAAATGCCGCCTTTGCTATAGCTGCAGTCTGCACCTCCATGGAAAGGGAGGTGTCGAAGATTACACCCAAACTCTTAATGGATGGTGCTGGCACTAATTGCACCCCCGCAAGAGATGGGAGTTGCCCCCCCCCAATCCCATATCGTCCCGATCCAGCCAAAGGACCTCTGATCCAAGACAGATGCCAGGAACCAGTTTCCCTCTCAAATCTATAAGACTTAAGCAAATATGAGGTGGGTTTTATTTCTCCACAGTCAAAGTGTGTGTGTGGGGGGGGGGAGAGTCACACCAGAGAATGAAAATGCACAGATCAGCATTAAATAAAAACACCTTCCCTCCATAATTCAGAGTTACTCAGATTCAGTTGGGCTTCCCATTCAGGGACAGCAGAGGACCACTGGGCAGGTTGAAGGTCCTGTACTCACCTCCCAACTTCCCCACAGCCCAGATCCCTCCCTCAGGACTTGAGTCATTTCCTGTCACAGACCTCCTGATGATCCCCACAGCCCATCCTTCCCCAAAATGTGTGGCTCCTGTGAATCCCTTACATTTCAGCGCAGAATGGAGAAGGTTGAGTCTCTCAGGATTGTTCAACAGGTCTTGACTTTTGTGTCCGCATTTCACATGTTTACGATCCTCGGAGGGATGAGCTGCTGCTTTCTGACCCATAGTGATGTTTGCTGTTGAAGGGCAGGGGAGAGATGAAGAAAAAGAGAAGAGAGGAAGAATCACCTGGTGTCGTGATCCAAGAAACACCCCAGGAAGCACATTCCCTCTCAAATCAACAGGATTTCCTGGCACTGCATTTAGGATTGGGGGAGCCATCTTTTGCTTCCTGACTTTGCTCACAATAAAAACATTTCCTTTTGGATTTCAAATCAGGGGTTTGTTCTTTGTATTCCACGTATTTATATTCTGTCCTGGTAGTTTGGGACAAGGAGGAAAACTGTCTGGAAAACATTTACTCAGCTTTTCTGTATGAGAGAAGAGTGGAATATGTGAGTTTAGGGGTGGGGAGAATTCATCCACTTTCACCATTTTGGATTTCTGCGAGGGGGCAAGCAGGTAAGCAGCGAACAGCCATAAAATCTTTATTTCCTCACTATGGTTAGAGGAGGGGACAGAATCAGTTTAGACCCATCAGTTAATTCTGCC